AATGTGACCTTCTCAGTGTTAAGAAACACTGTTACCGGTTTGGCTCTGAACACAAAACCCTGGCAGTAAGATCAAAATTTTTAATCCCTTTTTTTAACCTCCAACGCATGCATGTTGATTTGCATGTGCATTTATCTTGCTGACAGGAGGCAAAGCACTGATAAGATATTAGTGCTGCTTTTTATTTCGATTTTATAATTCATCTTGCTATCTAAACATCGTTTTGATCACTACACTAGGAGGACTTTTTGAATGGAACCCCAGAAAGAACAACCTGCCCCTGCTTATAGCCATGCACCCATATGGTAATAGGTTCAGTTCCCACCCCAGGCTTCTCTGTCCAGAGTTTGCACGCTCTCCCTGTTTTATCACAGCAGCTTCCTCCTGCAGTCAAGGATCATGCTGTTAGGCGAATCTGTGTCTGTAACATGTCCTACGATGGACTGACATTCAGTCCAGGGTGTGCTCTGCTTCTCACGGGTTGCATCCAGGCTTGCTGAGGTGTTGAATCGGAGTAGCACTTTGGGAATTGGGCAGAATTCCCTTACAGTCACATATTCCCTATTCTGCTGAATTGGGAACGTGACGTTTGGCTGACGATGGAGACAGTTCATCATTGCCTGGTGGACATTCCTGGGTGTATTAGAGTCTTTGACCTCTTCCTGTAAGCTGCGGCAGTACCGTCCTAGTAACCAAAGGAGATCTGAGGCTGAAATCAATATCGTGTTAAAATGGATGCTGTGTCTGTTGCGGAATTTAAAATGTAATTCTAAATGTTATTTTTTTGCAGGAGAAGCAGGGTCAGATACCGGCTGGAGCGCAGGATTAGCGAACGCAGATAGTGAAATGCTGATTCAGCGTGGAGTGGATGGAAACCAATGGGGGAGAGAGAGGCTTGTGCTTCCCACGGCGGATGGGATTGGCTCATTCGGGTTGTGCTTCCCACGGCGGATGGGATTGGCTCATTCGGGTTGTGTGTACCACGGCGGATGGGATTGGCTCATTCAGGTTGTGTGTACCACGGCGGATGGGATTGGCTCATTCAGGTTGTGTGTACCAGGGCAGCTGGGATGGGGGCATTTCGGTTGGGTGGGTCATGACTTGAAATGACTAGGGGCCTGAAAAAAGAAAAACGAACATGTTGACTCATATGTAACTCAGAGAATAAGGTGGGGTCGAATTAACCAGCACACCTAGAAATGGCCATCTTACTCCACGTTCACGCATAGTGACACCCCTCCCCCCCCGAACTGTGTTCTTATTCCCACGTATATGGCAGTATTATGAGAATCTCATAATAATTGCTAATAATTGATAATTGCTAATAATTTATAGCCAAAATACCAGGAAATAGGACCCGGAACCAGTTATAAAGAAATATTTAAATATTTTGACACAGAATGATTGATTTTTACCTTAATGAGAAAAAGATTACAGTGACATTTTCCTCTGATTCATTATGTATGGGTGTGATCTCACCGACAAACCTAGATAAGGCTCCCTTAAATCAAGGACTTACTTCTGAAAATGTCTCTAGAGCCATTTTCACACATGAACTCCTGAGGCCTACATCATCTGGATTATCGGGTCCGGACATTTTCTCGAAGTTGCCCTTTCACACATGTGGCCCAAGACCTAAGATTGCCCATGTCAGATGCGTTCACATGTACTTAAAATACTCCCGTGGCGTTTGGGTAGAGCATGCAGGAGGCAAGGCGAGACGTGAGAAGTACGCTGTGGACATTGCAGTGTTTTGTTTACAGCACATTGAAGATGGCGACAGAAGCTACTGACAGAAGTTCCGGAATCTTCTTGTCTCTCCAGTTAGCTGTGTTCATTGGGACTTTCTTCGTGTAAATGACCCTTCTTATTTGCCCTCTGTAATGTTTGTATTCTTTCATTTTCACACCACTCAATAAGTCATCAACACACCCTCACGCTCACAGTAAATTCTCCAGACAATTCCCTGCTCTGTTCACAGATGGGGGTCAATCGCAAATTACCCAGACTTTGTATTAGGGAACTAGCAGGGTAAAGTCCATTTAATGTCCGGTATGACTGATTCAGACATCTGCGATGACACATGGCCCCTCAGGGCGATGTCTAGAAAATTTCAGGGTGGCACTGCATGTCTGTCAGGGGCTTAAGAAGCAAACTGGACTCAAGTGACCCAATTCCCAGGCGTGACAGAAACTGTAACATTGTGACATGCAAGGAGGGAAAGAGTATTGAAAAATCCAATGAAAATACTGATAGTTTCCGAGGAATTAGCTCTGAATTGAGTAAAATACCTCTCCTCTAAACTACTGAAATAAGAGTAAAAAGGCGGCTTGTTTAAAAAGTATGCTTTTGTGCTGCGTGACATACATTTGAAAGATCAGGGTCAGACAGTATCCCTAAGGCAATTTGGAGTTAAGAGGCTGAGGGGAGTTTTACTTACACAAACATGTTCTGAGGGCAGAATGAAAAATGGATGGTTGTGAGAACCAAGATATCTAATTGGTTGGTCCCACCTACTCTAGTTGCTTGGACCCACCTCCTCTACAATCTTATTGGTCATCTCTCTGATCTAATCATTTTTTGTTCTGCCATCAGATCATTTTTGCGCATGTAAAACTCCCATGAGCGGTTAAGAACCTTACTCAAAGACAGAACAGTGACGGCCTTCTAGCCGCCATGGGATTTGAACCAGCAACCTTCCAATCACAAGACAAAACGCAAACTATCCTGCGAGCAACGAGCATGTTAATAAACTGAAAATGGGGTTTACCTTCAGGTACAAAATAATCTGGTATTTTCTCACATTTACACTAACGCTTTTTATGCCTTTTCGTAGTTTAATGCAAGCGTAACATTTGAAAACCCAAACAAGCACTAAACTTATTACAAATCTATTCAAATTTTTCTGCAGGTTAATAAGTACTCGGGCCCTTCAAAGAATAAAAAAGCATCTAGCAGGTTCTGGTAGCACCTATAGCAGCTAGAACTAATTGCACATATTACGTGGGTCAACAACAACGAAGGACAGCAGGTATCTCACAGGAACAGCAGCACCGCTACAGCAGCCTAGTAATTACTGTGATAGCCTAGAATAAATTACAGAGCTAGCTAAAATCAGACTGCAAATAATACAGTTGCATCTAGTTAAATGGTATTAGCTAAAATGATAACGTTAAAAGTCATCACCGACTAAGAGCTTTGCGGGGTGAATAATGTCCATAGCTATGTAGCCCAGCTAGCCAGGTTGAAATGACGTGATAAAGCCGTAAGATAAAATCACAGTTAACGTCAAGACCCAATTCTTTAATGGAAATATCTCAACAGGCTTGACGACAACAGATCCCATGACCCTTCTCAGGTTAGACTTCTTCAGCAGGTGCCATGGATGTGATAGTTCTGTAGTCGTGGCAACTTCCAGTAGGGGATCAGTGGTTATTGGTGGAATCGAAGTTGTAGTTAATCAACTACCAATTTTAGGCGTGATTTGACATGATTGGCTCCAAAAAAACGAGGTCCAGTCACTACTGATGGAGTCAAAGGAAGGGAGGAATATGAACCAATAAAATCAGGTAGGCTGTTAGGGACGTAGCGGGCATACTTGGAGTGGCAATGCTACTAATTGTCTTTTCGATTCGATACAAGGTTGGTATGGCAAGTACTGATATTCAATGCAGGCAACACCCTGCCTATCATATTGAATTAGGCCAACAGCTAAGAAAGACACAATATTTTAGCGTTAAAATTATTTCTCAAGATAAACATTAAGATCGAAAGAATCCATATATAGCAGAATAAAAGTACTGCTGCAGAACTACGTATATAAGTAAATGTACAAATCAGTATGTGTCCGACAGGGGTACCCAACCACGGCTGAGAAGACTAACACACGCAACCAGCAGCATTTAAATCTATTTCATACGTCAAAGATTACGCAAAAAACGACTCAATTACAGTAATGAGAGTATTCGTATTTCGGTACTTTACACCCCGGGTGACATGCATGCTTTCTTATTTCATCACCTATATGGTGATTTCATTTGAGCTGTTAAGGAGTGTCTGTTTTGTGGGAAAGTGTATTTTACAGTCCTCTATCTCCTGTCGGCAACGAATTTCCATCCAATTATTCTTCAGAAGAAAGCCTTGTGGCTTTACGTTTAACGATGCATTTTCCCTAAGCCAATTAGTCATATTGTTAAAAAAAATCCTTATTTTTTTCTTTTATCTGCAGCACCATGTATGTCCCGACATAAAAATTCCTAAACTGACTTTCCTATATAATATAAAGGTCTGTGTTTTAACGGTTGGTCTGGGAGCCAATCTGACGTAATACAAGTAAAATAATCTGCACCCAAGTAAAAAATTAAAAAGAAAAAATGTTGTTCATTTATAAAGGATCTGTCCTCGACCGGTCTAACCTGCACTTTTGATATTGAAGACAGTATATAATATAGGCCTATATATATATGTTCACGTAACATGTAGACTACAATCCTGAATATAAAGGCCTATATTTCAGATTAGCCCAAATCCTTCAGGACCTAAACTGTTCAGAACCGGAACTTTTCTGCAGCGTATGCAGCCCGCTTCTGGCTCCGAGTATCTAGTTGAATTTCCCACATTAAAACGTCTCTAAACAAAAAGCGAACCGCAAAACATCACCGGCTCACCCCAAGACCGAGCGCCACCATTTATCACCACACCGATTTATTGCAATACTTCAGTAGAAAGGGAACTACGGGACAGGTAAATAATGAAGACGAATGGTGTTTTTCACGCTTATTTCCCCTTTCCTTGCAGTTTTGCTTGCACGTTTCTGTGTGTACATGTAAGTGTGTCCGGTGTTAGGATTAAGCTTACTGGAGTGGTATTTGCAACCAGTTTTTCGTTCTCTGAAATGGTTAATACTGCTCTTTGGATTCAGCACTGAGGTCGCTGTCCATTAGATCTCCGTCGATCTCAATCACATGCGGTTTTCTCACTGCGATCAAATCCCCTTCCGCGGACACAGACTCGTGTTGTGTTGATAAGACGGGGGATCGTGCAAAGGGCAGAGAACAGTTCTTCATTCATCGAGCTGGTAGATTAATATCCGCTGTGTTTTCCTGTATTTCAAGTATAGTAAGGCGGTAGACGGTAAACGCGTATTCAGTATATATTAGCCCTAACACTTTATTTATTAAAGGAATATTGAAAAGTAATTAATGGCGTGTGTTTCGTAGATATAATACGTCTGTTAAACGTAAGCCTTAACGTAAGCCTTAATTTACAATCAGTGGGCACCGGTAAGTTTTGATAGTTGCGATAAGAGAGACGGAAAAGAATCTAAGAAGAATCTAGTGTCGATTGCTTAAACAACTAAACAAATTTAAAAAAAAAAAAAGCTGAGTGATGCTTCTTTTAATAACGAAAACGTAACACAAATGTCGTTTATTTATCTCACATCACAAAATACGTACGATTTGTAGATAATTTTGGGAAATAAAGCTTAGTTTTATTAATTTTATTTAGGCTATTATTGACACAGATCAACATCAATGAAAGTAGCCCACTACTTGTAGTAACAAAATAAATGGACTAACATAAAAACAAATTCGATATGACAATTGCAATAGTAGTAAACCTAATGTTTTAGTATAACATCTTTTGTTTTGTATTTCAGATTTACACGCCATTTCGTTCTTAAAACCTGGCGCCTATAGACGCAACAGAGACATTGCCAATACTGGACAAAATCCATGCAACGGCAGTAGAAATCATCACCAATTTTAATGGATATCAAACGACACTGGATAAGTCCTGAAGAAATCTGGTTCCGTAGAGCTTTTGGTGGATCCCTTACTGTCTGAGGTCCATCCTGCGATGCATGTGAGTTGTGGACGCTCCTTGGGCAGCAGAGAGCGCGGCTTCTCGCCCTCCGAGAGCCATTCTCCATTCCGGGTCTTTGCGGCGTCCTGCTTCTCCGGAGTTTCACCGTAGCAGTGGCGCTGCAGAAGACTGTCAGGTACGTGCGGTGCAGATCCAGCTTTTCTCTCCACACTCTTCCCTCATCTCTTCCCCCTTTCCACTTCAAAGTAGCTATAGCAGATCTCGCCGGGAGTCCCATGGTGGAGCGGGGCGCTTACTGGGGATCTCTCTTTGCCGTTGCACTTTGCACTGTTTTTACATTTGCCACACTCGAGGTAAGACTCAAGATTACGCATCTTTTATGTCTTGTTTTTCCCCACTGTGCATTACTTGTTATCGGTTAGTTGTCACATTATTTTTCCAAATACGCGGGCTTATTTGCTTTTCCACACTCCTTCTGCATTCATTTTTACGGAAAGCACGTTCATGCGTGTAGAAAAGGTGGTGGTGGGGGTGTGGGCAATGATATACGAGGCTTTGCTGGAAAAGTGTTAACACGACACCGGTCGTTTGTTGGAGCATTTTTAAGAAATGGTTTCGCACACTAACTTGCGCCGTGCGACCATCTGGAGTTGCGGCTGCAAAACGGACGCGACGTTTCTATGTTTGAATTGCCTGTGATGCGCTGCTTAGACGCGTCGGGATTGATCGTGCTTTCGGAGTAACACGTTTAATTGGCACCAGCGGAATAACGGCATCCCATAGCTGTTAGTTTACCAAATACATCTTACGTTTGGTCATGTTTACAGTCGGTCTGCATTTGTGATAAACTACTTTGGGACGGAATAGCTGCGGAACTGGTCATATTTTCAAGTTGATGAGCATGCATGTGATGATATATAATGTGTAAGACCAGAGAGATGCGGACGATCGCGCTAATCAAGCGCGTACTGGCGTGCGAAACGTCCAGCGCTTCTGCCGCTCGTCTGCGTCAGAGAGCGTTGTTTGCGAGAGCAGGGGAAACTCGCATTGTGCATGCAAGCAACGAAAGGGCTACGTCCGCCTAGGGGTGCGACGGGACCTTTCCTTTTTTTAATTTCACATCAACGCCACGGTAGTGCAGCGTGCGGCGATATACTGCACGTGCCGGAGAGCGGGCGGGGCGTGCGACGTCACAGTCGCCGTCTGGCGGCTAATCGCCCTGAGATTCCATACATTTTAATCAAATTATTTAAGCAGTGCCTGACAGTAAAACCATAAGCTTTTGTTCACACACAGGACAGGCCTGGTTTGTGGGAAACAAAATTAGCTTGTTGGTCAGTTGGTCATTATCATTATTATTATTATTATTATTAGTAGTAGTAGTAGTAGTAGTAGTAGTGGTAGTAGTAGTAGTAGTGGTGGTGGTATTAGTCATTTAATTTGAAATCGTACTATGGCATGAATTGTTTATGATATGAAGGCTATCCGTGATATAAATTAGTTTCAGACTGAACATCTGTTAGGCCTATCATTAACTTATGTGAGTATGGGCCTGTTTAGTAAAGGAGCAGAGTTATGTGGTTAGATGCCCCAACCGGTGCTTCCAGCTCAAATACTGGTATGCAAAGGATAGTCATGCTTTTCACCTCCAGGGAAATGACTTGGCCCCCTGGTTCCCTGCTCCCTGCTCACCTGCTGTGCACCGGGTCTCCTTAAACGCGGTAATCTCTTGCCCAGTTATGGAGAGTCACAGAATCCTATTTATGGCTGGATGGGTGTGGAGCTGAGGGCAGTAGGCGAGACAGTGCCGGGTAAAGAAGGAGTAATAATAACAATAATATAATATAAGAGATGACCCAGACAGAGATGAGCAGGACTTGTCGTAAACAATGCAGGATTGAAGGCTTTTGATTGGCTGAGGGGCAACCACACTGTCAGGATGTCATGGTGTGTTTATGAAAAGTGGCTCTAATGCAAATTGACTTGGCTGTCACTCGCCTCTACTGCTGGCGGGCGTCAGTCTCCTCAGCTGCGGCTATCTGTGCCGGACGCAGCGGGAAACACAAACCCGGCGCGATTCCGATCGGCGGATTTAAAAGCGCTCTCGTTTACATTTTTAAAGCCGACCTTTTGCGTTCGTCCCTGCCAGGGATTAAATATAGACACACTTTTCTTTGAAGTCCTTGAAATGAAGGAGCCGCTCTCGTCTGTGTTGAGCGTAGCGGGGCGCTCGAGTGAACCACTGTTCGGGCCCTGGAACGGACACCCTCCTGCTCGTGCCCTCTGCCCCTCTCCGAACACTAGTTGCCTTGACCACAGGGTTTTGGGTGGGG